GATTCCCACAAGGTTTACTAACGTGAAGCTGTTAACTTTGAATTGATAAAGAAACTAATACAAACTATGTTGAGAATTGACACGTGGGAATATACATTTGAGCTGAAGCTGGTGTAAATATCTTCTATACTTGAAACGCTGGTACTTGTTGTCACTGCATTTACGACAAGGAGCACAAACCGAAAGTATATGCTGCGTTTTAAAATTATTCACAGTTGGAACTACTAAAATTGTATCAGTTACTTTACGTTAACACTCAATTGATTGCGTCTTTCCTTTATAACAAAACCAACCCCCTCCGCCTGTGTGAACCATGTCCGAAATAGTCAGCTGCTGTACAAGTGATAACAAAATAAATGCAACAAATTTACCGATATTTACTGTATGGGATAGACATCTGTAATATGGGAAATTTATCAATGCCAGTCGAACTTTCGAATATATTTGATTATTCTAAAATAAAGACATTATGGTAAACCGTCAGTATGGGTGAAAAACAAATTATTAGCGAGACAAAAAGTGACGAATATGGTCGAATTATAGGCATATTGAACACATACAATTGACCCAAACCATAATGAAATGGTCTATAGTCAGCCTAAAACTGACCTGTGAGAAACTTGGTACATACTGAATAGTAATTAAGCATTATAGCTATAACTGGTTCTTGATGATATGTTACTGCGATTTGAAAATTTAAGTCAGAATCTAAGTACGTACGTTGTTTCAGAATTTAACATTTAATTATTGACTGTAGGAATGACATAATTGATGTTATTTTATCAGTTTGAATTACCATTGTGCTTGAAACAACCATAGTTCTAAATTGATGGTTTCATCTATGATGATATTTTGACTATTGTTTCCCAATTAAATGAAAAATGTCACAGATATATATTATTTAATCAATTATTTCTAAATATCAACGTGGTAAAGTTATTGTGTAATATCTCTGTAATTTTATTGAACGATACTCAAAAAATATAACAAGTCAATGCGTGTTGCCGGTAACCCGATGACTTTTTGTCATAGATGCTAGCTCTAAAACTAAAAATGTTACGGATATGCAAATTACGAACAATTACGAAGCCCGAAGACCGGAATGGTAATTATTTTTAAATATAACAAAAACAATTAATTGTTTTTAATTGACACTTGTATTTTTATATGCTGAGAACTTAGATCAAAGCTGGTCTTTCTTTTATAAGCGTGTGCTTGAAACTAATGTTTTGCAATTGTAATGAGTTTTTTTCCCCAGTTATTTCTCTATAATTCATCTAAGCACTAAACATACGTGAAACAATCTTCAATATCGACAATTTGTTCTAAATAATATATTGCATTTTTCCGTCATAATAAAACGGATCCCCACCCACATACCAGTGATGCCTAAATAAATGCGATAAATGTACCGATAATTATTGAATGGGGCAGCCATTTTGAAAATAAAGATAGACAATAAGAGAAACGAGTTTTAAAGTTTATCACAAATCGGAGGAAAATGCCAAATTTAAATCCGATCCAATCCAACAGCTCTTGAAATTTTACCGTATTCGAAGTTTAGGATAATTTGTTTATTTACTGCACAATTGCACACGTGATGCGAACATCACATTTGTAAGTCAGTGAACAATAAACATAATTTTATTATTTTACTTTCCCAACATAGAAAAAAATTGTGTTTGTATGTTACTGTATTTCGAATGTACACTGGTCAACTATATTGTCACCAATATGTAGGTTCTAAAACTATTTCTCGCATTTAACGGGAATTTGGCATTCCCGTAGTTAATTGGCAAACATACCTCATCAACATAACATAACTTTAAAACGGTGGTCGTGGCAGTAAACGTGTTTACAGTGGCTTTCTGTGGATGTTCATTCTCACCACTTAACAGCGCAACTGGAGACTATAATTTAGAATTATCCTTCGTTTTCAGCCTATGTACCATATGTTATCACTGGTTAGCTTCACAAAATACAAATTACACTGCAATGAACGCCATTTTCCCTGTCTATCAGAACTTATATGCTCACAGTATAGCTGCGATGCTTCTGTTATTGTATAATTGCTGTATTATAGGTGGGTGGTTAGAACAGAAACAGATCAGAATTGAACAAAAAGTGATACCATAGAGTAATGAAACATTACAATTGACATACCTAGAATTGAATGTGATGCACTTGTATCTTCAACCCCTCACACAATCTTCTTTAAATACAATTTTCAGCTTGTAATTCACATCTAGCCTTTAAATAATAATAACATGAATTCCCTGAAACATTAAATTATGCCTCACAATATATCGCAGTGATAAAGCTAATAATAGATGTTGACACTATCATACTCCACAGGACTACGCTACAATACATAACATTAAACCATACTACTCTACATAATATTTTACAACTAGAGATCATCAAGTGATAGCTCAGAGAAAAGAAACATTACAATTAATCAAATCAACAGCAGGCATGAAACTATAATGTGGGTCACATTGAATAACAATATAAAATGTATTTCCCTTTCAATTAACTCCATGAATTCATTGTGACAAACGTCTCAGCTACCCAATCAATATAAACGCCAAGACGCATCGGCAATTTAATACGTCCCCGCCACTCCAAAATACGATGTTCCAGCGCTTACATTTTCTCTAGTACGCATTTTGCTCCCATATTTCATATCTTACCTATCGTATTATTTCAATCACCTTGTTATATTTATATACATTTATATTTGTTTGTACATACTTGACAGGTTTTACCATTAATGTTTGCCCATTTCCTATCCACACAATTTGCATTGATGTAGAATTAGGATTTCTATAGGGGTATCATGTCACTCAAGCTCTCTGTTGTTGTTTTGTCTTAACAATATAACATACACACATCACGCTCACCCGGTATCATTCAATACCCCGTGTTACAATAATTCGTGCACCAATGCATCAAATTGCCAGAAACATTAAAAACGACAGGCTGTAATTATCATTGTATATTTAACCTGTTTACCCAGTTTCAGTCAGCGCTGACATCCTGCCCAGTACTCACGTGACTCCCTTACTACAAACAAATCTATTATTTTGATAGCCATCTGTTGTATTTATATTTATACATTCACCTGTTAATATCTGTCGATTTCCTACATGTACATTTTGCTTTTATGCAGTATTAGTATTTTTATAGAGGTACGCTGCCAGTCAAGTTATTGTATTTTTTGTACTGGCTTATCACTGCAAAAATGAACTATTCACACATAACGTATATCATATCGACAGTTTCATTTTGCACCGTTATACCATATGTCCATCTGTATAAATATGAATGTTCTAACCTTACTTTCAATACACCGTAACTCACTATACAAAATACATATTTGAGCGAAAAAGAAGTCTGTCAGCGATTCCCTGATTTGATAAAGTAAGTGTTTCCGATTTTCGAATATATACAATACATAGTAGTAATACGAGTTATGTAATGAAATTTTTCCAAAATTTAAATGTATTAATTTAATATATTAAATCCACTGCATACCACGTGACATATGACCTCGCGTCGAAACATTAGTTTACATTTTTACAGTATATTTATTTGATGTGGAATTGAAACAAGCAAGGCATGAATAAGGTAAATTCAGGAAGTGCCCGTATGGAAGTAGGCATACGAATATGGCAACAGGTCGACACTATACAAATTTTGATCCCATCAGCGGCTGACTTGCAAATCTTAGAGTACCGAAGAGCTCATTGTCAACCAAGGAAAGCAGTATGAAGTTAATTTAAAACAAGTTGTAATCCACTGTTTGAATGAGGACCTGGATAATAAATAATTTAATGTAGTACATTGGTGTGATAGCGACTCAACGATCGCACATTTGGTTCACACGTCGTCACTCTATTGTTTAGAATCAATAACTTGCATGTTTAGGGTGGAGATTATAAACATATATTACAGGAATGTTATAAATATATTGTTTACTTATTGTATTTAGTAGTGGTAACTTTGCAAGGCTTTAACCGTGAAACACATTCCTGGTAATCACGTGTTCGTGCCAACGACTGCAGCGATTGGCTGGTCAAATGGTTACTCTGCCACGCCTTTCACTTTAAATATAAGTGTTAATATAACATTTTGTAAGAGACGATTACCTCAGCTGAATGCTTGTGTAAATAATGCTGGACTACATGTAATGAACTTATGTGTATTCATTTGGGTCGAATCTCTACGTGTAAGCGACACCAGCCAAGCGAGACGAAGTTCCCCGATTATCGAACACAATGCCAGTGTTCATAACACGATTGTGAAGTTGGTGGTTAAGTTTTAATGTTGAAAGTCTTTTACTTATTAGTTATTACACACGTATGCACGTGTTTGTGTGTGCCATTGATATTCAACAGTAGATCAAAGAACATGCCAGTCTCTTAAGCAAATCAAAAACATTTCAATGAGGTAATTTAAAATGCTATAAAACAGCCCATCCGTTTAGAAATTATTACACTCACATAACAATACTTTTAACGAAAATGAAGATTCAACATAAAATTAATAATTTGTTTGGCATTGTAATCACTAATTTATTTGATGAATAAAACTTTGTTGTCCTTGTCTGTGTTCTGGTTTGATTTGTTAAATACCTTTATCAATTTGATTATATCACCATTGATTATAGTATTTGTATGACTTTTTGTCTTGTATTTTGTTATACAATAAAAGACCATAGTGATTGGTACAACTAGGTTTTCTCGTGTTAATTCAGATATCAAACCAATTTCTTGTTCGTGATTTATTTGGCTAACAATCAAAGCGATTTGTTAAACCGTTCGTATGTTTGCATGCAAGACAGATCATATGACCTGGTTTGGTACGAAAAATGGATATTCGCCACAACTCGGCAAAAACTGTATTTATTGAAAATCACATTTTTATTTCATTTTAAATTAGTATTGTAAGGGAATCCTACATAATTTCACTCACATTACAGATAACAAAGTTAGACAATGGAGGCATGTATCTCACTGCCATTGGAAAAACCACTTCTAGATGAAATAGTGGTTCGGAGTAAAGACTTTGCTAATATGCATGGGATAGTAATGAGAAGACCAGAGACACCTACCTCATCAGATGTTGTATGTTTCACACCTCATACGTTAGTGCCATCTCCTGTGCCAAAGAAATTGTTTTATCAATCCTTGGCTATTCAGAATGACTTCAATCTGTTGATTCATGCTATGAGTCATGATTATGAATTTCTAAAGTCTGTATTAAAAAGGTAAATTATTGTTAAACGTATTTAAGGATTAATGTTGGATGCAGGAAGAGTTTGAAATATTGCTAGGTTATTTCGCGTAACTAGTCAATAAGAAAGACAAAATATGGAACCTGAAATAGTTTTATTTTTTTGACTACCAAATTAAGGTTTTGTTATACTCCAGATTTATTTCTAAATACACATATAGTATAATAAATGTTTTACATAACTGGCATGAATACAATTACATTTAAGGCCAACTACCAACATTTATCCACATCTCAGTATACTTGATATAAAATGAATTGACAATGAAATATATTATAATCAGCAAATATTTTATTTTGTAATTGTTTATACATACACGAATCACAATATATACGCAATCCACCTTCACCAACCACTTCATTCAATATATAGAGGACCTCCCATGGGTGGGATGTCGGATTTATTGGGCGGATGAGGTATAGTAATTCCACTGGGTTGACCGTCAGAAACAAACATTAATTAAATATAAATCGATACATACCAGTTGCCCGAAGTACGTATTATTGATTACTTCGTTTTTTTATCAAATTATAGTTCAATTCAACAAGAGGAGTTCGTGAAAAGACACTTTGACATTTATGAAGAGGTGTACATACACAACACACCATGTCAGGTATGAGAATATTACTGTACAGAGTACACGTGCGTGTTCCCGATACTATTTTATTTTTACCAAGACATGCAAAGGTTTATGCACATCGAACATAGGATAAATCTCTAAATAAAGCCGTCGCTTATAACAGACAGTTTCAGCGTACAGTCAAATAAGTACCAATGCTACACGAATAACACCCAAACATTGATATTATCCCCTTTCTTTTACAGCCAATAATATTAGGTATGTTACGAAGTGACTATGTGCTGGACTGTGATGATCTGGAGAATATCTCAAACAATAACATTAAAATAAAACAAGTCAAACTGTTCGTCACGTCCGCTTCTATGGCTGGACTCGGAACCCAATGTACTCGTCTTCACCGGTTAGTATATTTCCAATACCATTTAAAAAACTCTTCTAAATAGAATAATCAGTTGAACTATTTTACCGATTAAATTATTTGCAGGTTTAATCTAGAAAATCTCGGAAAACAAGATATTGCAGCCAATTTGCCAGAATGTAAAGCGGTGGAAAATATGGCCAAAGTATTTGCTGAAGCTTGGAGAATGTATGGCAATAAAAAGTAAGTTGTGGCTCAAATACATTTAAATTAGACATGGTTCTCCGTTATGATGTGCAAATTGAGGTATCATTAGGAAATATTATGCTACTTTAACTGGGTTTGTACTGTTTTTGTCTCGAATTGAATTCTATAATTGAATAATCTAACACTTAAGGTAAATATGCAGTTTACCTGACAGGTATTTTAATTAGTTAATTAGGAAACCAAGATGACCTCCCTTGTCCACAAAACTATATATTTTCGGAAAGCTCATTGTATGAATTTTAACATTTTTTTAAAGTATTTTTTTTTGAACACTGTAGTTTGAAATATGCACAAAAATGTGATATTTTGGTCAAAAGTGATTTAAAAAAATTAGCTTCTAAACCATGCTTCAGTTTCCTGCCAAAATTGGTTTACGGGTACATATTTTTACTATGAAGAAAGTGCCGTATTAAACTGTCTACCACTTGTCAATTTTGCAGGGCAGCAGCTCAAATTTCACTACTTCAAGTTTGTGAATAAATTAACATCTAGGCTAGTTGTTTGTACGATTGTTGTAACACTATTCAACCAGAAACAATGCCCCGACGGCGTTTTGAAGATAAACACAATGTCAATTTTTTGTGAAAATTTCTAAACAAAAGGTCAAAGCGTCTAGGAGCTTGCTAAGCATTCAAAAGAGAGAATGTTTGCACCTGTTATCTATATTATTAAATCGTCTTTTGAGTATGTTCTACTATTCAAAATTCTACAAAATGTTAACAGTCTATAGCCAAGACTGTTTGGATAATAAAAAGCAAAAAAAAAAAAAAAAAAAAAAAAAAACGAACCTGCATCTCTACCTTTTACATAGCATTCTTCCATGCCTGGGGGAATGAATACATGTATTGGTTAATACTGTGTACGTTTTGCTGATCATATACTCAAATTATGTTGAAAATGTCAGGAAAGTTTTGGTGTCATTTGTTTATACTTGTATTGTGTCGTGCCTAATACTGTCATAGCAAGGTTGTGTAGACCTTTTTCCCCAATGTCTTTTCGATCAATGTGTTTGACTTTCTTTCATTGACCCCTTGTTGTTGGTCAGTCCACAGATTGTTTTCAGTCGTGCTCTTTTTGTATAGTTTGTTTGTGTATTGTGTAAGTGTAGCGTTTTGTGCAAGTTATCATTTATGTATTTGTATTAATTTCCTGCAGGGCTGCCATTATGTTAATCATTAGACACAATTCTACTACTGTCACCGATCAAAGATGGTTGGAATATGAAATAAGACATCTTGATAAATCTATCCCGATTATAAGAAGAGGATTTAAAGACATCATTGAAAGAGCCAAACTAGTGGACAATAAACTTATCATGTGAATGTTATTATATACATCTGGGTGTTTCAGTGTCTACATGATGTTGACAAAATATGTTCACATTAAGTATTTATCCAGTGAAAATGAATATAATGACCACACCATAACTCGTAACGTTCAAAAATGTTAATATTGAATTTACAAAATTTTGAAAACATTATTAATTATGTTATTTGTTTGATTGTTTTAATTCAACAGAGACGATTATGAAATAGGAATTGTGTATTATAGGACTGGGTATTTAATTGAACATTACCCAACAGATAAGGTGGGTGGTGATAAACTTGTACATTTAATTTTTTCCCGAGCTTTTATTTCAGAATTTAGATTGCAATTTGTGTATCTTGGTAGCACGTATTATATTTCAAATGTATTAATGTTCATATTTCATATCCGTCACATGTTTTATTGTGTGCGATAGATGTGTTGATTATTACATTAGCGTATTCAAATATTGACGGATGATTAATTTAAATAAACGTTGCTATGCTGCTGAAGGCAAAACATTCGATGCTAATAAAGTATTAGAAAATTTAATAGTGACATGACTTTTTGTATTCTAGGAATGGGAAGCACGTCTTATGATTGAGAAATCTCTTGCTATCAAATGCCCATCTATCGGTTATCGCTTGGCGTGTATCACTGTGCTAAAACAAGAAATCTTCAGAAGTGGTTCAATTGAAAGGTTGCAAAAATATTTCCCAGATGGAGAAGATGCAATAAATCGAATTCGAGACCTATTTCCCGGACTTTATACACTTGATATGGTAAGACCAACATAACATTATTACCAAAACATCTATTCTCATCAAGTGAATCAACTCTTTGGTAAAACTATTCGTGTTAATCTATATATCAATCAACGAAAAGCAAAATTAGACTAAATCGTTGTCACAATATTTTCTGCCCCTCCCGATGAATAAAGTTCACTTCTATCACCTAAGACACAAGATATGGCCAGAAAAATACCAGTATTACTGTGTCAGCTATTCCACCCAACGAATGCATTTATCGAACCATATTCTTCACGATATTTACTTTATAAAACGATGGAAATGAAACGCTACAACGCTATCCTCTATTTCCATACAATGAATAAATTATAAAACCATTTACTAGACTTTTACACTTGATATGATAAAAGGAAAGGAATAGCGCCTCTTATTTCCCTGTGACAATATAAATACTATCAGATGCCAAATGTATAACTAAAATACACATAACATGTGAACACAAAAATAATGAATATTAATTAATATGACACATTATGTATATTTTCTTGATATTTTGTGAAATTGTCCTGAACTGTGGTTATTTAATTTGATTTTATTACAGGATAGTGAGGGGTCTAAAAATGTTCAAAAAGCTCTGCAAAACCCGAACAAATACGTGTTAAAATCAAGAAAACTTGAAGGTAACTCTAAAAATAATTTACTTTAATATAATTATTTATATTTAAAAACCATGTGACATTATTCCACCAATTATAGTTGGTACATTTATTTATTTATTTCACCAGAATGACCATTATAACAGAACTTATAAACAAAATACAATAGTAGTAATTCCGGCGTGGACCATGGAAATAGTCCTCATGGACTAGTCCAGTCCATGGCCCAGACTGTCAAGTTGAAATTTACAATTTACTAGTAAAGGAAAGGAAAATTACTATTTACATAACGAAAATTAAAATGTAATCTTTATGATTTAGATATAAATATGACTAAAATATTATGTGTAATAATAATATAAACGAACTACTGGTACAACGAATTTATATGCAGAAGAAAAGAAAAAAAAATGCAGAGAAATGGGAGGTAATCGAGGAATTTAACAAAGCAAATAATGTTTCATTTCATATTTAAACGTGTTTCTGTTGTTGATGTTTTTGAGGGAGTCTGGAAGTGAATTCCAGTGTTTTACTGCAGCAAATTTGAAATTATGTTGTGAAACTGTAAGTTGAGCAGCAGGAATTGACAAATTACCGCTAGACACTGAACTTGTGTGATAGCAATGTGAGTAATCATTAACATACTTATTTAGCTATGTGCATATTTGTTGTGCTTTAAGGTCGAAGATAAATAGGCAGGTTTGTAATTTACAAAGTTTGTGAATATAAAGTATGCGTAATTGGATAAAAAGAGAAGCAGAATGTGCATTAAAGTGCGAGAAGGTGATAAGGGGCACAACTTTTTTTGTAAGAGCAGAACTGGTTCAAGAAGTGTTGGGTATGTGTTTCCCCAGATTTCAATACAGTACATTAAGTGTGGGAGAATAAGTGTGTTGTAAAGTAGGATGAGAATCGATCTGGGAACATAGTGACGAATGCGAGATATAATGCCCACTTTGGGACTAATGGTTTTCACATTTTTTTTCAATATGAGAATTCCAATTTAAGCATTGGGTCAATGGTTACTCCCAGATAAGTGGCTTCAGACACGCCCTCTATCAACGTATCATTGATAGCGAGCAGTCCCTCCGCTTTTACTTTTCTTTGCGGGGTTTTCAGGATCATATAGTTTGTGTTTTCTACATTAATTGGTAATTTATTAGCATTGCACCACTGTCCAACATTTTCAAAATCATTATTAATATTAGAAAGATCAATAGAGTTAGTTTGTAGGAATTTAAATAAATTTGTGTCATCCGCAAAGAGGCGGAAATTAAAAGCATCAGTAGAGTGGTTAATATCATTTTTGTAGAGAAGAAAAAGTAAAGGCCCTAATATTGATGCCTGGGGCACCCCGTATTGAATATGTCTGGATGTGGATGCAGTTCCAATGTTTACTGTTTGGTGTCTATTAGTTAGGTAGCTTTGGAACCACGAAAGCGGGAGACCCCTTATCCCATAATAAGCCAGGTTTTTAAGGAGAATATTGTGGTCAATATTATCGAATGTTTTTTTTAAGTCAATGAATACCCCAAATGTAACAAAACCGTTGTCCATGTTGGCAGTGATATCAGAAACAAGGTCAACTCGGGCAAGGGCGGTACATCGTGTGATACTTGTGCCAAATAAAAAGATGTCAACTATATTAATGACATCACCCACCTTTATATCTCTGCCAATCTTAGTCTTTACGCTGACGATACCAAACTTTATAGGTCTATTACATCTCCAACTGACGGTCACACTTTGCAAACTGATTTTAATAAGTTTGTAGAGTGGTGCAACCTTTGGAAATTATTACTCAGTTCAGAGAAGTGTAAATGTATTACCTTCACTCTTAAGACAAAAACTATTTCCAGCTATAAATACTCTTAGGAAGGTATACTCTTGCAGAAAGTTTCAATCATTAAAGACTTGGGTATCCATTTAACTTCTAAACTGTCATACAATCATCATATCAATTCTATCGTTTCTAGGGCCTTAAACGTTTTATTAAACGTTTTTGTTATAGCTTTAATGATATATCTGCAATTATTTCTTTGTATCTTGTTTATGTCAGATCTATTCTT